ATCCCTATTCAGTGGTGCAATTGTATCTCTTTCAAAATAACGTCGGATATCGATAAAAGAACTAATTGAAGAGAAAAATGTTTAATAATGTTTTTCAAAAAAGAAATTACTTTTCAAGTTACTGGCTACTGAAAATTTGTTTTTCGCAAATATTTCTAAAAATATACATTTTAACAAAAATCATGTAATGAGCAAAATTATATCAATTAAAATCCTAATAAATCGCTGTTTTATAAATTGTTCTAGGAACAATATTAGGCTAGATATGAAAATGGGGTTTGATAGTGCTCAAAATAAGCTTAAAAATGAGTACTCCTGCGTGTAAAATGAGTGAGCTACCATGCAGATAAAGACGCATATAATATTTTTTTCATTTAAAGCAAATAGTTTTTGAGTGCCATTTCCACCAAAATTAAAAATAATCGTATTCCATCTACAATTAACTTGGTTTAAGAGGTCTTGACAGATTCTAGAAAGTACCACAACTTTAGTGCAAACGATTTCCAAAAAGCTCATGATTTCATGAAAAGAATCTATTTAAAAAATAAAAGATACATATAAAGGTATATAGATAAAAATTAAAGGTATTTTTCTGACTAATTATTGCTTTTTATTTTTTTTCCTGTTACACAAATATTGATAGTGTCCAACCAGAGTGTTTTTCGAGTTTCAAAATAAGAGAAGTTACGGTAAAATTTATGATAGAGAAAGTTGTAGCTCATTCAATTACCTTTAAAATAGTGTATTACAAGTTCTGATAAAATCAGAATTAAAACAGTTGTAATCCAATTATTGCGGAGGGTGGTGACGGAGTGCAAATTATTTTCACTTCTGAACTTAAGATAAAGATTAGTCTATTTCCGGCACAGGCTTTTTTCCTCTCCATTTACTGCAATAATTTTGTTGATAGTAGGTTGAATAGAGCACACATGAACAAAATTTGATTGATAAATTAATTCACTTCAAATATGAAATTAAGTAATGATGTATATTGAATTATTCGTAAGAAAAATGTAGTTTAGATATTAAAATTACTAAAAGCCAGTTAAAATATGATACGAAATTATAAAAATTATAAGCAACATTTTTGAAGCAATTATTTTGGGTAGAAATTCAAGGTGATATTGTACCTTTACCGCGAATGCTATATATTAATTCTTTCTGAATATGTTATACCTTTTAAAAGACTTCAATTTCCAATACGTATATATTATGCTTTAAATCACAAAAGCAGACGATTTTTCGTGTGATAAATTTGGAAAATCAATGTTTTAGTCGTGAATAAACAAAAAATCATTCATTTATACATCCACTTCTACAGGTATGACTAAAAAATTGTAAAACCTTTGGCATTAAAATAAATTGAACTATTGGAAATAAATTTGTTCTATTAATTGCAGTGTATAATTTTTAATATACAATTTAATTGAACATATTTTAATATTTGTTAAACGGATAATTAAAGTGTTAACTGTGGGAATTGAGAATCATAATTTTATTTGAAGCAGTTTTACATTTAACATCACTCATATTTGTGTAAATAGTAATTCGAAAAACAATAATTATTATTTTTAACTGAACGGTGTAAATATTAGTATAGAATATTAAAAAAATGTAGATGTGGGTAGAGGACAACGTCTGTCGGGTCATCTAGTATATATATATACATATATGAATGAGTGAGTTCTTGAGGGCGATACATCAAACAAAGAAAAGCCAAAGATTTATAAAATAATCTTTATTTCCAAACGTTTCGACATTCAATTTAATGTCATCATCAGTGGATATTACGTTGGTTGGTTACATATAGAGAAGTGTACACAGCACTAGAGATTGGCACTAACATTTATACAACTAACTTGTCAGCACTATGCATTTTTTTATATAATTTTTTTGTATGATGTAAACAGAAAAATGATAGTTTTATTGAACAAAAATGTAAGTAGAATTATGTAATTTCTGCCACGACTTCTGTACTTTGCGAGTACCGAGGCATGTATGATTTATATATATATATATATATATATATATATATATATATATATATATGTGTGTATATATATATGTGTGTGTGTGTATATAAAATGATATTTGTACTCACTGTTCGTTTATCATCTCGTGGTAGAGCCTGGCCCTGTGCTCGGCCTCGGCCTTTTCGCGCATTTGAACTTCGCGCGCTTTTGGCAAATCCTCGCGAACCAGCGCATTGCGATGCTTGTTTCCGGAATAGTGTTCAGAAACTGAAACAAAAATCAACTAATTAATACATTTGTGAGATTTAAAATATTCGCAGATAAATATAACAAAGGATATGATGAACAAAGTCCATTGTCACACTCTAGTTGTTGAAGGAAACCAGTTAGTTGAATTCGGAACAATGAAAGTGGAATTGGTCAGAACAAAACATTCAGTCGTTCGAAATGTTTTTAGAACGCGTTTTTTTTAGTTGATTTACAACTGCTAATAAAACATCAAGTAATTTTGATTGAAATATAAATAAACTAAATGTTAGTGGCATTTAGCCTTACAAGAAGTTGCACGAAGTTCCTATAAGCTAATCAATGAGATTTCCAATTGATATCCCTAATTGGATCAATTATGGTAGGAATCTTTTCCGACAATATAACATTCTCACTGTTCCCTGTATATTTTTGCTAATTACGTTGTCATTCATAAAGAATAATCCTGCACACTTCAACCTATCCTCCATGTTGAATTCCTATTATAAAACAAGAAATTTGACTATAAAAGGACCAACTTTTAAACTTGAAACATCTTTTAATGCCATAAACGGAAGAGGAGTACAGCTTTTTGATCTACTCCCACTACATATTAGGAAATTGAATGATTGTCAATTTCATAATACTATTGTTAAACTTTTAAAAGCTCAAAGTTTCTACGATACTTCTGAGTTTGCCAATTTCGATATCAAACGTTATTTTGATAATGAAATGCCTACTGATAATTGATACTTTTTTTCCCAACAGTTACAATTTTTTTTCCCCTTTTCAATACTTTTTCTAATTTTTATTCTAAAATATTTTAACATTTTTCTACTTTAAGTATTTTATCATTACAATTATTTTCATATTATATATTCTTTTTTGATACTGCTCTTAATTTTTATTTTCCAGATATGAGACTCAAATAAAAATTGCATAACGGATATTTAAAGGATTTTTTTTTACCATAAGAAGACTCAAGATCTACAACAATTAAACTATTTGAATCTTATTACATTTTTTTTTCTTCAAGTTCTTGTATTAGATATTACTAATGTTAGGCTTAATATTGCTTAATAGTTGTATTTTACTGTAATTAATTCAATTAAGATAATTTCTGTAATTATTTAATTTATTCCTGTATCCGTAAATATAAATATAAATATAATGCTAAATATAAATATAAATATAATGGTGCTTGTATGTTCTGAAATCGCAAACCCATTATTAACTTTCCGTAGGATAAGTTATTGTAATCGTCCAAAAATCGAAATTAATTTTTTTTGCATATATTAACGTTTAGAAAAAATTGAAGTGTGTGTGTGTAGGCGTGTGTGCATGTATGTATGTATGGATACAATTTTTCGTCCACGTTTTCGGTCGCACTGATCAACCGATTTGAATGATTCAAAAATCATTTGATTCCCGTTGATAGAAAGATGTGCTGATAAGTTTTTACCAAAGGCAGGTCCAGCCGTTACGGAGATACAGAGCAAAGAATGCAGAAAATAGATATCGAGTTTTTAAGAGAACCAAGCATCCAATTGGAATGATTAAAAAAACATTCAATTTGTAATCTTTGGGAAAATGATGATTAGTTTTTGGCAAAGTTAGGTCTAGCCGTTTCGGAGATACGGATCTAAATGTGCAAAATATGTCAGTTTGAAAAAAAAAGCATTCAAAAAAAATTTTGTTTGTGTTGACAAAACGATTGTGAAAGAAGAAAATATATACCGAAAATAATTCGAATTTTTAAAATTTTAATTCGGTGCGGGAAATTCCAGCAAATTCCTTCAAAGCACGATGCCATACACCATTAGTTCAAAATTTAGTAGGAGCAGTGAATCTTACATTAGTAAGATTTTAGCAAGGTGTAAGTAAAATTTTAATTGTAATAAAGTCTGAATGAAATTAGGAGCAAGACTGTAATAAAAATCTTGTAGTAATCTAGCCAGAACCCAAAGAGAATCTAGCGAGATTCTCGTAAGAATCAAACAAGATTTTGGTAAGAATCTAGTGAGAATGAAGCATAAGAATTTTTCGAAAAACTGGTACGGACCCTAATATGCATCTTGTTCGAATCTATGCAAAAAATGTTCGAAAAATGCAATAAAATGTTAGTAAAAATATAATCAGATTCTGGTGCGGATAGACCAAAATTTCAGTAAAAAATGCAATCAGATCCCATCTAATAAGAATCTATTTAGACTCTGAAAAGATTCTAGTATGAATCAGATTGAACTCCAATAGGAATTTAGTTAGGATCAAGTTACAACCTCAAAATTGGTTCCTCTTTATTGAGTTCGATTTTTATTTTACATTTATTAAATATATATACCAATTTCAAAATTTAAATAATTACAATTCACAATTCCGGAAATGTTCGTTCTAATTACGTTTTGATTGACAACCCAATCGAAATCCCAATCGTATGAAATTCTAGAAAATAATTTATTTGGCATACGATAGTCATATCTAATGATTATTGTATTGGCAAGTAATATAAATATGAATAAAAATTAATTCTGATTATAAAGCTAAACTAATATTTATTCTTTCGACGCAATGTGTGTTTGTAAAATTATAACGAAAACTGAGTCACCGATAACCGTTAAAAAATAAAGGAGAGACTGAAGCGTCCGGATTAGTATTTATTACTGGTTGTAAATGAATCATTTGAAATATATATATACATATATATATATATATATATATATATATATATATATATATATTATATATAAATTTAAATAAAAAATAATTAAAATATGGACTTACTTTCTTTGGATTGTAGTTGGTACGCCAGCGCACCATCTTCTCTCACCAACCATTCTTTACAAACTGAAAATATAAAATAGAAAAAAATAATATTTAACAATTCGTGATAAAAACATCCATTCAATTATTAAATTTAAGTTGATATTTAACGTAGAAAACATTTCGAGTTGTTATTCTACTCATATTCAGTAATAATAATCGCTGAATATAATTCGCAATGTCAAAACAAAAAATATAGCAAGGAAATTCAACAAGTTCTTATAGAAACTAAAAGATAATAGTGAATGTTTTTCAAATTAAATATAAAATATTATCGAGAATAAAATTTATTTTGCTGATTTGTATATATATATATATATATATATATATATATATATATATATATATACACACAAATGACCTTGTTCTCACATTAATGAGAGAAAGTATAGTGACCGACTTATTGCCATTCATTTGTACTATATCGCACATTACATTTTATTATATTAAAATTTATTATATTAAAAATACTAATCATCTCTCTAAAATGCAATAACCAAGTTAGATTTTTTTAAACAAATTTAGTAAATGCTTTGATTGACTCTTCTACTTGATTCAACAAACAAAATACAGAAAAATAATAAAACAAATAACAAAAAATGAAAAACGTATAAAATAATGATAATTAATAATAATTAAATAATAATACTGGACAAACTTTGCTTTGATTTTTGTGAATATGAATCATTTCAATCTCGACACATCCTGCAAAGAAAATTATTCTACCAAATTAAATGTTTAAATTAAGAACTCACATACATAGGCGAGACAAGCAAAAATGTGAATAAACGTCTTTATGAACATAAAAAATAATTATGGAAGAAGTAAACATTTTAAAATTAATATAATCGAACTAGTCAATAAATTTATATCGTAGCATATATTTACTAAAACCAAAAATTCTATGCTTCCTGAATCGAAAATAATTTTTTTTACATATTTTTACATCTTGGCATATCTCAGAAACTGTATATGAGTATATGAGAAACAGATGTGAATGATTCAATAAACATTCGATTGATAAGCAGATGTACAATTCGTATTAATAAGTCTTACTGGTTTTTGGCAAAGGCAGGTCTAGCCGTTTCGGAGATACGGGGCAAAAAGTGCCAAAAATGGTGTAGAAACATTGGACTGCTAGTCTTCATACGTTTTCCGTTGTATATAGTGCTCAAACATAGAAGGGTATGTGACATCACATGTCTGAACGAACGTTGCCGACGACAATCGCGGAATCTCCCGATTGATAAAATGTCATATGTTACGCACCTGACATAGGCCTTAAGGGGCACAACTAGTGTAACCGCCTAAAAAAGGCGATTTTAGGGAATTTATATTAAAAAAACTACTTTATTAATCATTTCAAAATTTTAGGAATATATTTATACATGTTTTAAGAATTCATAGTGAAATTGTCGAAGAAAAAAATTAAATATTTTTTAAGTTACCGTCGATCTCCAACGGCGCGACAAAAAAAGGGCCTTCACTGCTGCAGTGATTCCGGCCTTTTACGTGAATGAAATTTAAAAAAAAAAAATCTTATTAAACTAGATAATATTGTCTGTAAAATGAACTACGATAAAGAAAAAAAATCAAAAATTGACAAAATGACGGCGTTTTTTTAAAAAAAAGTCGAATTTTACCCAAAATTTTCGTCGTTTTTGGATTGCCAAAATTCGATTTTTGATCTGATCAAAAAATCGATAGTTCATTTTACGAAGAACTACATATAGAACATGTAAAAAAAATTTGATAGTGATCGGATCATTTGTTTTTGAGTAATCGCTGCAGCAAATTCGGAAAATGCTGTTTTGAGAAAAACGCGTTTAAAGATTAAATGATCGTTATACTATATATTATATATACTCTTTTAAATGGCTGTGACTCAAAAACTATTTAAGATATCGATTTAAAATTTTGGTATGTTATTTTTAAAGGTGTAAACTATCGAAATATGGAAGAATTGCAAATTCGATTTTTTGAAAATTTCACTCTAGTTGTGTGATTAATATATAAACCGATTTTAACCGGTGGATTCGATTTGATGTACATTAATAATATTATTGATATCATTTCTTACAAATTTATCAGCCATCGCAATTGTCATTACATTATTGAAATAAAACATATGACATATGCAATTTAATCAATCGAGAGAGTTCGCGATTGTCGTCGGCTATATTAGCTCAGCACTTATTTTGCGCTCGACTAGCAGTCCATGTAGTGTAAGGTCTATTTCTATTCTATGGTATTTTCGGTATTTTTACATAAGCGCTATTTGATACATAATACCCTAAAATTTTAATTTTTCGTAACAAATTTATATTTAAATTCCATAATCGCATAAACAGCTATATCTTCAAGTGATTCTATTGGATAAACAAATGTCAAATATTATCTCAACTCGTCATTAAACTGAATATTGCTATTGAAAGGGCTTCATATCGTGTTACAATAAATAGAATTGGACTGATAGATAATTATGTTTGTTTCATCTTTTGTAAAAATGTAACGGTTTTTTAAGTGATTTTTACGCCAAAATATTTTGTATCATACAGATTACCCCTGCGTAATCTTTATTTTTTTCTAACTTTATACATAATAATTATGATAATAACTAAATATTTTTGCTTTCTATTACAATTATAAAATATTATTTTTCGAAAACGTTTCGAAGTTTGGAAATACTATAGAAGCATCACATTGTTTTAAATAACAATACTCAACAATTATAGTAACTTATTATTTATCTCGACAAAGAATCCAATCTTAAATTAGTGTAGAAAAATTATTTTTTTAGAATATTGTGTAGATTTTGCTAATTTAACACATCGGATACAGACAATACAGACAATACAGTTTATTATAATAATGTAATATGATCTTTTATGAGTTTTTGGTCTTTCTTACTCATAAGTTTGTTTTCGGTGAAAAGTGCTCAATATATACTGATAGTGATAATGAATTAATTAAATTGGATAGAATTTTGTTAAATTATTATTTAAAAAATTAACTGTTTGCTTTATTTTATTGTTTTTATTGTTTAGTTGAATATAGTTGTAGTTGAATATACATTTTTTATATTTGCACTAGTAACTTTCAATTTTGTTTACGTTTGTTTAAGATAATAAAAATACCGGTAATTTACCGGTATTCCGGTTTTAAAATGAAAAATTACCGAAATACCGGTATTTAAATTTCCCATCGGTATTGCATTCCCTAGTATTTATGTATGTATGTATGTATGTATCTATTAATGTATGTATATAGTTGCATGTTATTTCATAAATATTAATGTGTAATTGGTCGTAATTGCGAAAGATCGTAGCCTTAGCTAGAGTAGAGGTAGCGGTCTAGGCAGCATTCCGGACGCAACGTCGTCCGTCGTTCACTTGCGCACACTCGCAATTTCAAACCAACAAAACGACTAAAGAACCAAAGAACGAACGAACGAATGCGTTCACCTGTTCACCTGTTCGAGATAGATACTACTGTAATATACATACATGCACAAACATGCATCCGATTGCATCAGCACACCGAGAAATAAGACGAGGAAATATATACCAAGATGATGTGCTTAATCATCGAAAAAAGTTAAAAATTAGGCGAATGAAAGACGAGGACAATTGACTATGAGATAACTTTTCAGTGCTTAGTTGTCTAACTAATGGTGCATCGTGCCTTAAGGCAAATTGCTGGAACTTCCCGTACTATAATTAAATATTCGAGAAAAAAAACCAGTAAAATAAATCTTGATCAATGATTAAGGGGTTACACCACTCTAGCAGTAAAACAAAACGTATGTTTTTGCCATTTTTTTTTCGGTCGGAAGGAAAAGTATTAACATCATGATATTAAAGATAGTTATTCATTGTACTTAAAAGTAACAAAATAAAATATAATTGTTAAAAAATAACGGCACGCAAAATAACTGCAACAATTTGATTTTTTTTCACTCGAATTTTTTACAGTATATTTAAAATTACATTTTTAAGTGCCCATCATAGGAGATCTTCTATATGTTAATTTGTTCATCAATTATTAACAAATTACTATCCGTTTTTTTTGTTGAAATTCAACGATTTTGAATAAAGTGCTCGCCAAACAAACAAAAATCGATATTTTTCAAATCCGTCATGATGAGCACTTTAAAATTTTATTTCAAATGTGCTATTGAAAATTCGAATAAAAAAAATCCAAATTGCTGTAGTAATTGGATTTTGACCGCCATTTTTATTTTTTTTTACAATTATATTTCATTTTGTTACTTTAAAGTACAATAAATAACTGTCTTTAATATCATGATTTTAATACTTTTACTTCCGTCCGAAAAAAAAATGGCAAAAACATACGTTTTTTTTACTGCTAAAGTGGTTAACCCCTTAATAACAATTGTTTTAAACATTTTCAAAGAGATAATTATAATTACTCTATATATATCTTCGTTCATATAACATACTGTGACAATCTTATCGCTCAAAACATTAGCAAGAGATGCCGAATGAATCCATCTGAGGATATATTTCTCACGGTTACATAAACGCATATGAAATATATACATTTTTAAAATGAATTGTGAATTTCAAATTCATATTTGAAGTATAATTTTAATCTTTCCATACTTATATAAGTCAATTGAAACAAATATATATATATATATATATATATATATATATATATATATATATATATATATGCAAACAATATTATATTATGATAGTATAATGATATTCCCAGAATAGGTGTATACAATTTGTATCTTTATGTAAAAATCAATGTATGTATTTAAGTCAAATAAAGCAAATTTTCAAATTAATTTTAATATTTGAAGTATAAAACTTTGTAACTTTTTAAAAATTAATTTTTTATTTTTTTTTTATTTTAAAATTTGTTTGAAACTTTTAAGTGAACTTTAAACGATAACAATCTTAATATGGAACCCAAAAAACTAGTAACAAAATTTATCTGTAACAAATTTCTTTCATATGCACATTTCTTCAAATGTGCATATGATCATTTTA